GTTTCAATAGGCTGAGATCACTCTTTGAAGTGGTGCTGAAACGGTTTGACTGGTCTTATTGGAAGTGGGAACTGAAGCATATACAGTGAACGGTGTTTTTACAGATGATGATGTTCTTTTTCACTGTTTAAAACAGGTAAAAAAATTTGTCAGTATGAAGCGTGCAATTTGAACTAGGGTTTTGATATGTGTATGAGCCCGGTGTACAAGCCCCAAGCCCCATCAGGGTCCGTAATTTTTTTATTGAACACGGAACCCTCCTAGGGAGATGTATATCGGGATGCCAACTCGAATATACAAATAACAAAATCTTTTGAATAAACAACTTCAGATGGTCTAAACGACTTATTGTCTCCCACGTGTGGCTCACTATTTTCATCTTTTAATCATTTTGACATGGTCAATGCTAAATCACACATGCGTGACTCGCTAATTACATCTTTTAAGCATTCTAAGAGAGATTTGAATGGATTTTGTCATTGAGCTATATCTAAAATTATAATAAAAAGTTAAAGACCAACTTGTTATTCAAGCAATAAGATGAGAAGTAATGATACCATGTAACCTTGATAATAGTGTATCGAATTGTTATATTGGGTTTGTGTAAAAAGAAAATTTGGATTTAATTATTCTAGTTGTAAGATAATTTTACAAAATACTCGGGACTTAAAATGAGGTTTTGGAATTTGGGGTATTTACAAAAAAATGAGATTTTACTTGAGGGTGTGCATAAGTTGGCATTTAACATCCATCATGTAATTGAGTGACTGAATTAGAGTCGGGTATAAGATGAATAATTATAAAGTGAGATGAATAACTCAAACTACCTCTGGCCTTTTTTTGACTCGGATTAGGAAATGAATTTAACTTGGGGGTTTAAGTGATAATTTTCAAAAGCCCTAATTAAATAATATAAAAAGGTGATTAATAGATGTAGCCGTTTTCGGTTGAGTATTAGACAAAAAAAACATACATTTTGTTGAAGAGGAACTAGACCTTGGACCTAAAGTCTAGTTTGATGTGATTAAAATTAGATTTTAATAGATTTTGATAAAATTGATGAAAAGCGTGGTTGAAAAGTTGTGGATCCTATGAAATATGTGGTTAAAATTAATTGTTGATTTTGATTTAAATTAAAATTTGAACTTTAAGCTCTACCAAATAGAGACTAAGTATATTATGCACGAAAAAACAAGGAAATATAAGAACATTACTATGTTATTTTCTAAGTGCATCTCTAGTGAATCTGAAATCTATTTATAAATTTTTACACAACTCTTGATGTAAGGATGCAACATCTTAGCCCTTATTTGAACTCCATTTTAATGAAGTTTTGTGAAAAAATATATTGCGGGCTTGTTTGTCATAGACGTGATTACCCTAGGCTTGTTTCATTACTACATATGCCAAGCATAGAGACCTTGGACCTACAGTCTAATAGGACAACAATTCGAATGTGCAATAGGCATTCAAAATTGAATTGAACTCTTTTGCCAGGAAAAAAAATTGTCACTTTGATTAACCTATACTCATATGGGTGTGGGACTCATGCAAATAAAAAAATTCAAAAAGGTGTTCCCCTATTGTGAATGTGCTTTGTTCAAAATTATGATGGTTTCATTATGAGAAATGCTATTCATCCCCATTGGAGATGCATCCCCAATCTATATGGCGTTAATGTGATATTAAATGATAGGTGAAATTAAATAAGTCATTTAATTTCACCTATCATTTAACCAATCATTTATATCCACATAAACTGGGTATGTATCCCCACTGGGGATGAATAGTATTTTTCTTTCATTATACATAGTGGCACCTCATAATCATGCAATAGGAATCGTTGTAATCGTTGGTGATATTGTTGTCATTAATTCCATCCATAACACCGTTTGATATTGGTACTACTTTATTATTTATGTTGTGGTCATTTTAATCCATCAATGATCATAGATTGGTCTATTACCAATAGTTCTGTCGGAATCACCAACTGATAATGATTCTCAACATGTGCTATGTGTGGTTCTATTGATTATTATTATTTTTTACGATTATTGTTTAAAAGATCCCCTTACAGATTTTATCTAAGGCCCCCATAGTTGTTTGAACATCCTTTAATTAAATTATTTGGAGTACATCCAATTTAAGTCTATTGTGGAGAAAGAGGCTTGCACTACAACAAAAATGGTCATTTGCAACATTAAAAAAGCAACATTTGTTGGCAAATGTTGCCAAAGGGTCTTTTGGCAATATTTTAGTAAGTAAATGTTGCCATTGGT